AGAAATTTTAAGAATGAATGGTGAAATTCGACTCACCCAGCTTATCGCCATGCACTCCAAGAAAGCGATCACCACCAGTGGCCACGTAATCGTGAATTTCGCCAACAGCAACAGCCAAAACAGCCCTGCCTAAACGGAAGAATTTCGAGCATGAACTGATGGGAACAGAAATGCAGTAATAAGTGGGGCGCTTTTTAACGCTGATGGTATGGAATAAGGGGGGGGCGGGTTAGCGCTGAAGGGAAGGGAATAAGTGAGGCGCTTTTTATCGTTCAAAAAGCATTATAATCGTGGTCACGAAGAACAGTGAAGCGCGACTAGCTACACCTGTTCCTTCGTGATCAGAATAAATAACTCTCTGCAAGTATGCAAACCGGAAAAAAGGAACAAGTTCTCTCCGGAAACTTGATCATAACTTTATTATTGCACCCAGATTGAATTGATAAAAGCCTCTCAGAACCAGTGAGCAGCCATTTCGGTTTTCTTACATGCCAAAAAATGTGTCCTCTTAGCATCACTACAACTTCATGTTCTGAAGGTGACCTAACACAGAGTAAGCACACGCTATATCTTCAGCGCTGCTCAGTTAGCATTTGAAAAGCTCGTAATGCAACTATGGAATACGGGAAACTACACTGTCCCTGATACTCACCGATAAACAAAATGGTATGCTGACCACCATGAAAGCCGCACATACGGTCGTTAGAACGTGACGCCTATTACGCCGTAGACGTTCTGGAAACTCATCACACAGAGATGTAACGATCGTTTCTACCTAAATTCAACAACTTCGAATATTGATAGCGTAGACATATTTTCTGTCAATTAGCTGGAGCTAGTGCTACAATTCGATCAAGAAAAGTACCAATGAATAAAGTCACAGGGTAAATGGAATTCGAACAAACAACTTTCTAGCTTGGGAGAAGAAATTAATTGAGTAATTGGAAAACCTACAACAAACAACTGCGTCGAATGGATGATCAGCACCACCATCAAGAAGAACAAACCGGTGTACAGAGGCGCTACTGGAACACCAGCTAAAGCCTCTGCCAAAAATACGAAAACAAGGTGCGCTCCATCTGAATTTGATAATCGTATGAGAAAGCTGGGAACAAGGTCTCGTGATGAACAGAATAGGAAGAACACCTAATCTCTTTTACAACTTTGGAATGGGCATACCGAGGGCGTGTGTCAGGAAATGAAGACAGCGGCGGCGCAGTGGTAACTTGCGATTTCTCAACTTTCATTGCGCACGAACGTCGTTAACTTATTCTGACGCGAGAGTGTTTTGCCACCAGTACCCTGTCGAGGTAAACAACAACCAAACTAACAACTGCCACCGCGTTAACCTAATGCGCTACCTCAGTTTTCATGTCCCCAACCGATTACGGACTACTTAACATTCTTCCATGCTTCTTCTACGAATGGCCAGAGCACAGACGATTAGAGAATGGCGCCTGGCTCGGCTCCAAATCCCAAGGGAAGGTGAGAGCCCTAGGACTAAGCCTTGGAGGGGAGGGACTCTGGGGTGGGTGAGCCAATTACAGTGTGGCAAAATTTGAATGTGTGAGATCACAGCAGTCATGAGCCGCTGTATAGGCGAGAGAGCGCAGGCGGGAACATGAAATTAGGTGGTTTAAAGAATCCGAATTCAAGAGATAAACCCATAAACTCTCCAACAAAGGAAAGATTCGACGGCAGCACTCTCGCCGATCATAAAATACCGCCACAAGACATGCTTTAGGGCAGTAACGTTTTTAAACGTCCACAGGCTTCTTAAAATTGAGGAAAACTTGGGTTACAGACGTTGAAACTGGCTCCGATTCTAAGAGGGACTCAAAATGCCTGATTTGCACCGTATTCGCGGTAAAGAAGCTGAGCAGTAATAAACGTGATGAAGTAAAAGAATAAAACCAAATACAACTGAAACCCACCTCGTATATGGAACTTTTCCAGCGAAATTGAAAACTCAAAGCATGTAAACCCGATGGCAGAGAATGTCAGTACACAACAAATTATTGACGTTATAACATCAACCGTGAGAATTATCCATAGATCTCTGCAGAAAAAAGTGGATAAAGGCAATGAAAGAAGACGAACAACTCTAAAATGCAGTTGATATTTGAACTGTCAAAACATCTCACTTGAAAAGATTATTGTGAAATCGGTTATAGCTTGAAGTCGTGTATAGACCTCCAGTACAACAAGCAACCGAATAAAAGGCATGCACAGCAGCTTCACCCCACACCTAAAATTCAGCGTTAAACTTTTGAAAGTAAATCTAAAACCGCGGTCATGGTTTGCGATCTAGTGATTTTGGAATCTCAAGATAGCATAAGCCCCAAAGCGCGTGGTGCGGGCTGTGATTCGCATTTGGGAAACTCATTCCCATCAATTTTCCCAACATATCTACGTATCCGTAAAGGAAGCGCTACAAAGGATCCCAA